GGGGGTACTGTGCAGAGAAACAGGATTCGGTGTGGGTCGTCACTGGCCCTTTGCAAACACGCCGGGGTCATCCCAGGGTGCATGGCGAAGCCCGTTGACGGTGTTTCCCCACTTAGCGCGGTGGGGCTCTTCAAAGGGAGACAGCTCAGCGCATCGTCTACCGCTAGGAAATCGCCCAGTTAATAGCCAGCGGAGGGGAGAGGGCTGGGGTCGCGGCCTGGTTCATGGCCCACGTGGGCCCACCCACGCCCCTAACTACTGTTGTCCCGAGACCCACCTGGGCTGGCCCTCCTGAGACAGCCCCTGATGTGGTGGGTCCCCACCTGTCGGTTGTAGGAACCTCAAGCCCTCCAACATTGCCCTGGTCAGCAGCAACCACTGCAAGGTGCAGGACCTGAGCTCCAACGCGCTGATGACCGACAAGGCCAAGTGGAACATCCGGGTGGAGGAAGGTGGCTGATGTCCCCAGACTGCTGGGGGCGGGGTTGCGGGGAGGGGGGCTGCGAGAAGGCCGCTCCATCCCTCTCTCAGCTCAGAACGTCCCTGGACTGGGATGGCCTCCAGAGACCTATGTGTGGCTAGAACCGAGTAGGGGTGGCAGCAATGGGGGGCAGGCAGCAGGTTCGAAGATACCCAGCATTGTAAGCACTCTGAAAACAGTAATGGTGGTGATGTCGTCCTTCCCACATCCCAGGTCTCAACCCTTGTGGAAGGAACAGACAGACTTCCTAGGACAGGAAGTGCATCTGAGCGGACCCAGCCACTGGGGATAGGTTATTTTACTGAGTTCTAAAGTCCCCGGGAGATGGTAGGGATCAGGGTCAAGGGGAGACAAGTCCTCTTCCCATTGAAAGGATGACGGGGCCACGAGGGCTGGTCCGAAGCCTGTAACACTTATCAGGATAGAGAGAGCAACGTGTGGAGATCCCAGTCAGTCCTGCACTAGCAGGAACTACACTAGGCTCTCGGTCCTTAGTCTCCAGAATATGAATGGATAGGTGAGTGAGTGGCTGATAGATACAATGGATGATGAATGAATAACAGATGGACAGGTGAATGGATGAATAAAGGTGAATGGATGGGTAGATGGATGGATAGGTGAATGGACAGTTGATGGATGGATGGCTAGGTGAGTGGGTAGATAGGAAGATGGATGGATGGATAGGTGAATGGATGGGTAGATAGTTGGATGGATGGATGGGTAGGTGAGTGGGTAGATAAGAAGATGGATGGATGGATAGGTGAATGGACAGTTGATGGATGGATGGGTAGATGGTAGATTGACTG